GTATTTGTGGCATATAAGACATGGAATTAAATAAACTTCTAGTGGTTTCATTGTTTATTACCAAAAAAAAAAATTTCATTGGTTTTGAAAAGTTCTTGCATTTTCTCTCTGTACTTTCAGATTTTATGAGGACTGTAGTTCCAGTTTCTCTGTGGGGCAGTTACCTCTGATCAACTTGGTGATAAAACAGTTCAAATGTGCAGAGTTTATAATTTGAACCAAGTTAAAATTTCTGGCTTCTTCAGCGCTCTAACAGCTCTAAACTAAGTGTTGCAAGAAAAGCAAAATAGCCCATTAGCTACCCAGGAGGCCACTGAGGTAGGGACCATGCTCACCTTGACTAAGGCGGAATGCAGGTACATGTTGTGAGGCATAATGACCGCTCCCACGATGCCCACGGCCTGCTCGACCTGTGGGGTGCGGCAGCCTGAGCACGACGGCAGGAACATGCCCTTGAGGACCTCGCTCTGGTTGGGCTTCACTGTAACATACTAGACACCGGCAGGACCCCTTTAGTCGTTACAGGACACGAGCGAAGAGCACAACATAGTACTAGGACACAGTACATATGATCTGTACCAACTAGCACAGTGAGGGTTACAGTCATCAAAAAACCAAGTGACAAAGCACCCTGAATGCCAGAAGCCATTCAGGACTGGGCTATCATTTTTTGTTTAAAAAATCATATTTTTATGTATACAAAATACAATCTATAGAATGTGATTAAAATTCTAAAGAAACTTAATAGTTGTTAGAGGTCTTACTGATAACTTTACAACAACGCCTGTAAGACAGACCCAGCAATACAGCCAATTCTTGATTTTTCCAAATCTACACAACCATGTTTATCTAAAATCACTTGTGTTTGCCAGTAACATATACTGAGACCCTCATAAAGCACCTCCCACAAATACTTCTCCTGGCTTAGCATTCACTTAGTTGCATAACTGCTCAGAGGTTAGGTATATTTTTATAAGGTCAGTCAGCCAATAAGCAGAAATCAGTGTGCTCACAACTGGACCCTGGGAGGCGCTACTCCTGGGTACAGCAGCGCTGGCCCCTCGGTGAGCCTGCACTGGGGCACGGACAGGAGGCCCCCACTGCGATCCCTAGAGCTCATCAACTGCTGCAAATCAGAGAAAGGTGAAGTTACAGGTGGCTAAATCAGGATAACCAAAACCAGGGTGTCTGTAAGGTAACAGTCAAGAATAACCCTGGTGCCCCACTGGGCACAGGCCTCGCCCTGTGTGAGACTTTCATAGGCTATTCTGGGATCGGGATGGCCTACTTGGAACCAGGCAGTCTAGTCCAAAGTCTAGGATTTTTCTGGAAAGTCCTAGAAAATCTAGTCAATTTGACCAAATCCCAGTAGGCCTTCCTGTTTGCTGTAGATCCTATTCCTTCAAAATCGGCCCAGGGCTGAGGGGCCTTTGCTAATACATGACATACAATAAAATCATCTTCGCTTTATATTGCCATTTAGTATAAAAGGCACAAAGTACTTTTTTTTTAAAGAAAGCTAATGAATAGCCTGTGACACTTGCCTCATATCCAAATGTGAGGGCCATAATAGTGATGAGAAAGCCAAAAAACGCTTCTAACTTCCGCAAGCCTGGAGGGGAAAATGCAGCGGTGAGCTCAACATTCAGGCTCCTGGTTACACGTGGCAACTCCTTGTTCCCACCTTCTTACCGTATTTGTCCAAAAAGAGAAATACAAAGGTATCTGCAATGGTGATGAGAACTCCACCCCACAGAGGAATCCTAGGTCAGAGATAAAAATTGGAGAGTTGCGGGTATAGCTCAGAGGTAGAGCATTCGACTGCAAAAATTGGAGAGTTAAGGAAAGACAGGACATAATGAGAATACTGCCTAAGTCTTGAAAATTATTTTTTGTTTTTATGTTGACTTTGAAGTCTGGCAAACATCGATTCATTTTTGATGACCCCTCCTCACCTTCCTACAGACAGGAGATTGATGGCGATGGCTGAGCCAATGACTTCCTGCATGTCTGAGCCAATAATAGCCAACTCTACCATCAGCCACAGGATAATCCGCGGGACCTAAACGCCGCACAGCAGAAAGACAAGAGTTAATCATTTCAAAGAAACTCACCAATAGTTTGGAATTCACATTTTGGCACTGACCATAAAGAATCCTTTATAAGCCTGGAGGCCAGGCACGAAGCACCTGACCTGGGCTCTACCTGGCTATTACTGCCCGCGGGCCAGCTGGAGCAGGCAGAGGTAATTCAGAAACTACGAGGAGTCAAGGCCAAGCACGCAGCTGACCCTCCTTTCTTTCCAATTTCCTTTTACTCAACCGAGGAATGGAGTTTTTCTATTCACTGATTTCCTACGTAAAAACAATCCTAAAGTTAGGGGAAAATGAGGATCCTAATGTGGTCAAAATACTGTTTAGAGGAGAACAGAAAATGACTGAAGAAAACTATCCCCACACCTCTGGCCTGTACCCCACTTCTTGTATGAATAAATAATCTTTAAAAAACAACAACAACAAAGATTAGGCTAGGTTGAAGGGAATCTTCCTGACAGAGTGTTCATTTCTGCCTTATGTGACTATATAAAATATGTCCAGAAGGAAGCTGTGGAGGGCAGTGTATCTGTCAGGGTACACTGAGGGTCAGGGTAAGATGAATAATCATTATTAGCAAATCCAAAGATCTTGTCACATACAACTTTCAGTAAAAGGAAAAAACATACTTTTCCCAAAAAGTCAAGTCAAACAGAAACATTAAACATAAAATGCAAAGAGACTTAGTGTTATGGACGCACGACTGGATGCATGTACAGACAGACAGTCTCTGCCCCTCCATGGGTTGGGTATTGCTAGAAATCTATCCAGCAGGTTTTTCTAAGGAGATTTTCTGGGGGAAAATGAATCTCAAGTTAAATTTCGAAGAAGCAAAAAAAAAAAAAAGGCTTGGCAGCAAGAGGGGCGACATCATTTCTATTACTGGGACTCCCAGTATTCCTGGACACTGACCCCCAGTCCTGTTTCACTATACAGTGAGGTCAGTACTTAGGGCCAGACACACAGACTCCTATGGCGTGAGTGAAGATCCACATGAGGACAGTGTAATGCTCACCCTTGGATACTGACGGTGACACACTTCCGCGAGGTGCAGCCCAGTGACCACTCCCAGTCTGGCAGCAAGGCGCTGGAGCAGGAGCCCCACGATGGTGGCCAGCAGAAGAACCCAGAGCAGCTGCAGAACACAATCCCCACCACAGCACTCATTAGACACCTGGGATTTCGGAGCTGGCTGTTTGGTCACGTGACGGGAACACTACATTCAGGAATCAACGACCTGAGTTCTCTATCAGATTCTGCACATGACCTGCCTGGTTGCTTTGTACCTTTCTGCATCTTGTTTTCTCCCATATGTACTTTGCCTTTGTGCAAGGAAACAATGTGGATAAAATAAAATTAAAAACCAGATGGGGAAAGCATTTTTCATATAAGTGTCCCTCCCAATAAAATACCTGCTTACAGCCTCCGAAGTTAATACAATAGTCAGAGTAGAGAAAAAGGGCATGAGGGAGTGGTGTGTTTATTTAAAAGAAACCAGAGTAGGAACTTGATGTTCACCTTAAATCCAGCCACTGCTCCAGACTGCAAATCAGATTCGATGTTTCCTGGATCCAGGTAGGCAATGCTCATAAGAAAGCCTGGTCCCGTGAAAGCCCAGAGTTTACGAAAGCTAAAACAAGAGTACTAAAGGAGAGAAAAGATTAGGCTGATTCTCACCTCCAAACTCTCATCTAGTTTGTTATTTTCTCACACAGATAGTAACAACATTAGCTCCAGAGGATGAAGACTCTGGGAAGCTGGACACTGAGTGTGCCCATGGACACTGTGTGCTCACTCGCATCTCATTCACTTATCAAGAATCTGGCCACTTCTCTGTCCAAATAAGTGCCTTTCCCTCACTGTTCTTTCTACCAGCTTGTCATTCGAAAGCCACAGTACTGGCATGTCTGTGCCAGTCATACCCGAAACGGAACAGAACTCACCAAAAAAAGGAGTAAGAAATTCATACGTTTTTGATTAAAAAGCTGTCACCGTCCAATGTGGCAACTGTTTTCAAGGCCCTCATTTTACTTCTTCTAATTACAAAACTCAGTCTTCAGAGAATACATGCAAAATTAGATGTGAAGCTGTTGATCTGGAGTTAACAGTTAACTTTTCTCCAACAGATTCTTCCCTACATGTGAATGCTTTCCTCTAGCACCTGTGACTAACCTCCTCCTCAGGAATGGAAATCTTCTCATCAAAATAGGTGGTAAAGGGTTCTTCCGAATGCCTGGTGGACTGCGGAAGAGAGGAGTTACTGTAGGCAGGGTTGATGGCACCAAGACTGGCAGAGTCCTCATTGTCTCCGGAAGCACCATCTAGATGAACAAAGAAATAACGCAGATCAAAACACACTGACAATTCACCCTTAGCAGTAATGACGTAATTCTTTCCAATACCTAAATGTACAAGACAACTTGATTCTAACCCAACTTCTAATAATTTATGCTTATATAATTAATAAATTTCAAGTAGGTAATACATTCACATGGCTGAGAAACTGGGAAATATAAAAAAATCCTTCTCAACCCTTTTCCCCCAGTCACTCAGCTCTAAATCTACTTTAATATTTATCTTAAAAAACTCAACCATTAAAGTACTAACTGGCTTTATTAAAGAATTTGTGAACTAGGTAACATCCCACCTAACAAAGTGTAGGGAACCTCAATGAACTATGCAAAGTGGGAGGGTTGTATACTCAAAAAGATGGCAGGACAGGGAGGTTATTTAGCACAAGATTATTTCACCTAGGTCTTCTTTAGGTAAAGGAGGGCTTCTTCTTCTTCTTCTTTTTTTTTTTAAAGATTTATTGATTTATTCATATAGAACTGGGGTACAGGCCAGAGATGCGGAGGGTGAGAGAATTCACCAGGGATGGAGTGGGGAGCAGAACAGGCAGATCGAGGAAGTACACTGCTGAGGGGAGCAGGGTAAGGAGAGGTCTGCCAGTCATGTGGTCACCTCTGGGGCAGGCGGAATCGAACTCATGCGGAAGTGGCTTAAGCTTCTTTCTCAGTGCATTAATCCGCTGCACCACCAGGGAGGGCCTAAAGGAGGGCTTCTTAACACATGGAGTGCTGACCATGAAACTCCCTATTTTTTTATTTTAAATTATAGTTTGGCAGACAATGAAACTGTAAATTAAGTTACTTATTAAATCTTAGTAAGGCTCAGTACAATTATTTTTTTGGCTGTTGTTTCTCTCTTTTTTTTTTTAACACTAATCTCACAAACTTTCCTACTTTCAAACTTCTCACTTGGCAATTTTTAGAACGATTTCATTTTCTTCTAAAAACAATGATATCTATGGCTCAAATATAATATTCCTAGACTAACCATTTGGCAATTAAAATCCTAACTTTTAAGAGAAAAGCACTGATTTAGCCTAGTGAAACAACCATTACCCCATTATGTGCCAAGACTTACTCAGTGAATCCTCCTTGGATATTACCTCCCTCAGGCATCTTAAAAAATGTGCAAGTTTGCAAAATCCTGTCACAGTTCAAGCTACAGAGAAAATAACAGGCAGGAACCTTCACCTCTTCTTAAGCTCCAGACCATAGGATGTCAGCACCCACATGATAAGAGGGCTGTTCTCAGACAAATATTAGTTTCCCCAAGTCCTACATTTTGTAGTTAATCTGAATGTAGGGAGGGAGAAGCATATGAGAAAAAGGCAAAAATAGCAAGATACAAAACCCAATCTGATGGAGCTATCAAAGGACTATTGTGAGTCACAAAGCTCTAATCTCAGTGTTTGCAAGAAATCCTTGTAACCTTCAATTAGAAAATCAAAAACTTTCTATGCGGAGCTTCCCACTTCACCCTAAGTACCCCTGAACTGATGAGGACATTTAGAGAAAGGCTTAGAAATTTTAAAGGGGAAGCTAAGAATCAGGAAGGCTTAGTCAAAGCACGTAAAAAACTAGTCAAGTTCACAGAATAAGGTACTGCCCTGTGTTTTACTACTTCATACAGATGTGAAATATCAGGAACATGTCTTAAGCAGTCAAAGTATTCTGAAGGCTTTTATGCTAGCGTTGTGAATAATGCCATCCTTGCAAGCATTACTGCCAGAGAAACCTAACTTACAGGTAATCTTGGCTTATTTCAGAATTAAAAATAGGATAGGAGGCAGGTCTCAGAGGCTATAAATATGTTTTCACTCCTAATCTCAGTGATCATGTGCTAATTACTGGATGGAGCAGATCTCAAGAGTGACACTGTTGCCTAGGAAGAGGAGATGTGGGCAATTTTTGTTGGAACAGACAAAAGGGAAATATGGTTAAGTCTCTGTTACTGACTAAACGCTGATTCCGAACAGAAGGTAAACAATAACAAAGAACGGTGAATTACCATCAGGCATCTTCTGTTCAGGATCCAACACCATGCCTGATACCCGAGTGTCTGAATTCTTACAGTAGGATTCTAGAAAGAAAAGCAAGAGAGAGGAATTAGCAAGGAAAAAACCAGGAAGCTCAGAACCAGCATTTTGTTTCTGTGTACAAAGGATTGTTATGTGAAAAAGTATTGCTATGTTAAAAAAAAAAAAAAAA